TATGTGGATCAACTTACTATGTTGTGTATTTTCAACAGTTTCAATATGAAAAATAACTTTTATATTGATTCAATGGATTTATTGCATTTTGAAAAAAAAAAAAAAAACGTGTCATGGATTTTTTGCATTTTGGGAAAAGATAATAAAATTGTATAATAAATCTTTGAAAAATCTAAATCTGGATTTTAATTTTTAATGTTATTATAACCTAAAGATGCTATGTGAAAGTTTGAAACAGAAAATAGTGGTTTTCATCTTGCCACTTCCTTGGTAAAGAAAACACATTTTTACTCAAATTAATCAAAATGGATTCATAGCGTTTTGGAACCAAACTCTTTATATATATATATAGTTATTTATATCTGTGCAGACGTCCAGGCAAACATAAGCGGAACAGCTAGAAGTTTCTATTCACATGTTCACAAAGTTTAGATATCTATTGCACAATTTCAAACTAACCTCTGACCGCTAGATAAACTTAAACACACTAACACGTCCTACACAAACACACACACAGCAGACAGCAGTTGTCCATCTGTGAAAGTTGTCTGAGAGATTTTCTCAGCTGGAATCTCGCCTAATGTACTTCAACTCCAGCGCCAAATACAAGCAGACGGTTGTAACAGAACCTGCGTGTGTGTGTGTGTGTGTGTGTGTGTGAGAACGCGTGTAGCTACCTAACCATATTTTGAGGACAAAGTTGTACTCAAAAGTGAGCGGAGTCTGATGATACCTCATTGTGGGGACGTCCTCATTTGTAAAAAATAGTACAACAATGCTGCATATAAAGTGTGTTTGTTTATTTAGTCATGAAATAATCAATTTAATTCGTATTTATACAGCTGCATGGCCAGTCTTCTCTGAAATTTTTGTTGAATTTAAAACTTTGACTTTTCATAACTTTTTGAAGTATTAAAATCAGCATTCAGCAATCATTCAGCTATTGTAAGTCATCACAATATGCATGTGAGGATTTGTACATTTGTAATATTTCAATTATTTTAATATCGCACAGCCATATGAGCCATAAAACCAGAAAAGTCTATATACAGTAGATGGTCTGTCCAACTGTGCTGTTTGTCAGCATGCTTATGAATAATGTGAAAAGATAAAAGAGATATTAGAGAGAGAGAGAGAGAGAGAGAGAGAGAGATGAACTTTTGTAGTATAATGGTTACGCAACTGTCACGCAACATTGTTTCATTTTCCCTTTTTTCATTGCCTTAAAAAAAACTGAAGTGTCTTTTCTGCAGCACTAACAGAACTGCAAAAAATAATGTTTTCAAACAGGTTTCCATCATCTACCATTGGTCAGACAAACCCCACACTCATGCTATTGCTCGAGCCTTTGTTGCCGTGCGAGGCTGATCTGGATGCTTAAACAAACAGAGCAATGTTTTGAAAGCGCCACAGAGACACAGTGTTTACACTTAGAGGAAATATACCTGTAATGGTTTACTTACAGTTGTCTCTGCATACAAACCCAGATGGGAGAAAGTGTTTTACCATTTTTTTTTTTTTTTAATATCACACACTTCAGCTTTCATTAAAGAAGATGAGAAAAGAAAAAACAAAGGAAAAGTGAGACAGAGAAGGAAGTAAACAGAAAAGCTTGTGTACCATCTGCAAGAAGACAAACACAATCCGAACACCAGCTGCTGAACACATACTAGAGGTAGATTCACAAATGGTGTGTGCGCAAACAAACACACACACGCACACTCACACACTCACACACTCACACACACACATTAGTTAATCGTTCACTTTTTTTATTGATTCTTTAACCAGCATTTATTACAATGAAAGGAAGAAATACCCTGACCAGAGGCAGTATTCTGCCCACATTCAGCCACTTAACCTGAGTATTTCTGTGTCACATCCTCAGTAGTAATACTCTAACCCTAACCAGTCACCAGTGTTGGGAAGGTTACTTTGGAAATGTAATAGGTTACAGATTACAAGTTACCCTATTTAAAATGTAATAGTATTGCCTACATGTCAAAATTAGTACATCACTACAATATCTTTATAGAAAAATCCTAATACTGAACATGAGTCATGTTTTTTCCTTACAAAAATTAACCATGCTTTTATTATAGTAAAAGTACAGTAACCATGTTTTTTTTTTTGGCAAATGGATTACCACTCTCTTGCATTGATTACTCTGATCCAAACCGTTTGGCGGAGGCACGGAGAGCGCGCGAGCCGAAACATTGCCAGTCACGACTAACCGATTCATGATTTATTAGAGATTTAATTATCGAATGGGGAATTCGGAAATAATCGCTTTAGTACATTCGGCAGCCAATTATACAATAATTATATTAAAATAGCGGGCCAAATCGGCTGCCAGGCGACCGGGAATTGTCCCGGTTCTCCCGATGGCCAGTCCGCGCCTGATTTCCACAGACACGCAGAACGTGCAGGATTCATATATTGTCTTTTCGCGGCTTAATATTCACAGACACTAGTCCATATCGCGTTTTGACTCAAGTGCACTGACGTTCTTTTGATTTATTCGTCCAAAATGTGGCATATTCCGTCCGCGTTAGGCTATAGGAATTCAGTTTTTATGACTGGATTCTACGAACCAGTCTGTGTTTTCCGCATCGCGGAAATTATAGGGCCGTATGTCTCAGAGTAGTCAGCGCAATTTGGGAAAGAAATCAATTAAATCTGTATGTGGATGTGTGTAAATATTCAAATGTAATCCCCTTTGTAATCGTTAACATTTTCACAAGTAACTGTAATTTAATTACACATTTTTTCTTATTACAGTTACATTTATTTTGTAATTAAATTACGTAACGCCGTTACATGTAACTAGTTACTCCCCAACACTGCCAGTCACACACACACTTTTACACACACACATTTACACAGAGATTTGCTTATATTCCCCCAAGCCAGTTCACCATGAGTGAGAAACCACAAACAGACTGTACAGACGTGGCATCCCAATAAAAAGCCACAAGACACAAATACAAGCATCTACACACACGCACGCTAGAAAAACACATCAACTAAGAAAAAGACAGTTTGTCAAGATAATCCTTGAATGCTGACTTGAGAAAGCCTCATCTGGAAGTTCAAAAATGTTTTAAAATCCTTGAGGATTGAAGGTTATATAGACCGTATAGACAGAAGAGAAAAAGACAGACAGAGAGAGAGATAGACAGACACAGAAATATTTATTCTTGCAGATAAACATTTTAACAGTCTTTGATGTTCAGCTGCTTTACTATGTGAATTAATCTGATGGTTTGAGGTATAACTACCTCATGGATCTAACTAGTTTCATCAAGAGTTTCATTCAGATGAAAGTTAGATATAGATAAGATATATCCGAAAAATATGTTTAAGCAAATATACAGAATATATGCCGCCATAGTTACTAGATATTTTCTAGTAAATTCAGTTTACAGACATGATGCACACTGCAAACTCAAAAGTTTGGGGTCAGTAAAAGTTGTTGATGTTTTTGAAAGAAGACTCCTATGCTCACCAAAGCTACATTTATTTGACCAAAAATACCATTTAAATTACCAATTAAAATAACTTTTTCTATTTTAATGTATTCCTGTGATGCAAAGCTGAATTTTCAGCATTTTCAGTCTTCAGTGTCACATGATCCTTCAGAAATCATTCTAATATGCTGATTTACTGCTCAAGAAACATCTCTGTTTAGGATCACTGTAAAAAACAGTCATGCTTCTTAATGTTTTTGTGGAAACTGTAATAGATTTACTTCAAATAGAATTTTACTTTTATAACATTATAAATGTTTTTAATGTCACTTTTGTTCAATTTAAAGTGTCCTTGCTGAATAAAATCTTACTGACCCCAAACTTTTAAATGATAATATAAACCTGAAATTTCACACCAAACCGAAACAAACAGCTCTAAATATGAATCACTATTTTACACTTAGAACGCTGTTTTCAACATTCAACATATTTCATTTCTAACTAAAATCTTAAATGAGAAATCCTCCAGTGTACCTATTTCCTCAACAAAAGTCCAAGGATCTGCTAACACTGTAAGTAAATGTGCAAGTTTAATGGTTTGAAAAAATAAAGCGTAATAACCCAACAGCATAAAGTTCTGTGCTAAGTTTGTTGCATTTAGTTTAAACAATGAGAAAACTTCAATGTAAGTCTACAGTATTTTTGCGATGTTGAATCGTCTGCTGGGAATACTGTAAGTTAAATGAGTTAGAAAAGATACAGCAAATTAGTATTTTTGCAGAACATTTTTGCCAAGTTTGTCAAGCCAACATAAATACTAAATTATGGTTTACAATTACAGTACACTCTTAAAAATAAAGGTTCCAAAAGGGGGTGCCATAGAAGAACCACTTTTGGTTCCCTAAAGAACCTTTCAGTGATCAGTTCTTAAAAGAACATTTTTTTCTTAGTGTGAAGAACATTTTAATAATCTCAAGAACCTTTTTCCACTGTAAAGAACCTTTTGTGGAATTCCATGGATGGTAAAGGCTCTTTGTGGAATCATTGATGCCAATAAAGAACCTTTATTTCTAAGACTATAACCCCACAAAGCTCTCTATCGGTGTGGTGATGACCAGCATTCAAATAAACTGCTTTACTCTCTAAACACACACACATACATGGCTGAGGTGCATCAACGTTGTGAGGTTAGAGTGTTACACACACTTCCTCTCTGTGTGGTGTGAAGAAGGGAACCTCCAAATGACAAAAAGGAAGACACATACTAATACACTGCGCACGCACACACACGCAGACACGCATGCATCTCAGTACACCTCCTTCATAAATTCAGTCTCACACACACACAGCCCTCCCCACAATCCCGCAGTGCTGCTTTACCGGTGCAGTGGTGGTTCAGCGTGGCTGTAGAGTTGCACACTGGAGCTAAACCTGTCATACTGTCTTCCATTCTCCGTTCGTGCATACGTCTGCAATTTTCGTCTGCTTCTCCTCGTGTCCTCCTTTCTTGTCTGTCTGTCTGTCTCTTTGCAGTCTGTGTCTCTCTTTCTCCGTCTCACACACACATTCTTTCTTTCCTGGACGGTGCTGCACACATACGTCCGCTCACACAAAAGCCAGGGCGAGCGAGTGAGCGCGAGGGTGAGAGAGAAGAAGGGAAACTAGAGGAGGAGGAGATAAAGGAATAAAAAAAGAAAATCGTTGTTGGCTAAGGGAGTGGCTAAAGCTTGCACGTCTTTAACCTCTGCCGTTCCGACTGAGCCACACACACAGTGTATGTTGTTTTACTGTGCGCTGGGACGGGGGGAAGGGAGAGCCAGGAGAGGGGAGGAGACCACGTGGAGGTGTCAAAGCTTCCAGAAACTGGCCACGCACACTACAGCAAACAGCTCCGCAACCCTCGTTCAAATGACCGCGCACTGGCTGCTGGAAGTGCACATGCTGAAATATTTGTCACATCACGTGATTTAAGACATCAAGATGCAAAACAAGACTGTAAGTTGCAATTCCATATAATTGCTGAGGCTATTCCGGTTGACACAGACTGTATTTCACAACTCAAGTGTCCTGGTTTGCATACTACAGCATATAGTATGCAAGAGTAGAAATAGTGATGGGCTCAATGGCTGGAGCATGTGGCCTCAGAAGTACACAATTCGCATGCTGCCATCTTTGCTCATTAGAACTTTGGGTTACACTTCATTTTAAGGCTTTTGTAATGTAATGTAAATGTTATGAAAATTACATGTAAAATTATAATTGCATAATACTTAAGTGGGTAAAAAAGTATTTTTTACCCACTTGTTACTAATTGCACTAATTAGTTCAGCTAATTGCATTTAATATCAATGTAAACTACAATAAAGTATCATTTAATTGCAATCAACATGCAATTACATGTCAGAAAGCATTACAGTCAATTTGCAATTAAGTATATTCTTGAAAGTATATTATTTTCATAATAAAAAACCTACCTATACGGCTAGTTTTGAATGTGCAAAGAAGAAGCAGACTTTTTGCTAAGATAATGGTGTAGTTACAGCATCTAACTGACAAAATTCCCCATAATGGTCAACCACTAGTCTCAGATCCTAGTATCCTCAAAAGTGCCAGGATGGCATACAATTTCTGGTGTATTTTTAAAATGTGCATCTATTTAGAGCTAATATTGTCACTAATACAGCCACTAATACAAACCATTGCAAAATCAAACAGGAGGAATCTTAGTTCTCTGATTGAAAAGTATCTTTGTTTTAAGAGTATGACCTTAAGTTGCTTAGTAATCCAATCCAAGAAACTAGTGGTGCAACGGATCACAAAACTCACGGTTCGGATCATATTACGGATTTTGAGTCATGGATCGGATCATTTTTCGGATCAGCAAAAACAATTCTGAAAGCTTATTTTAAGTACTATACCACAGCAAAAACTAATATCTTAACTAATAAAGTCAGTAAAAAAAACAAGAACAATTACACAAATTAGATGAATACAACATAACAGTTACAAATAAAGTCAGTAACAGTAGTATTCAGGTGCAGAAATGTAATAATTAAGTGTAAAATTACACAATAGTGCTCACCGCACAAGTTAAATACAGATTAATCTCTGTTAAAGCTGTGGTGTTATTTGATTAGCAGACAGAAGCAGGTATTTATTGGCTGCTGTCTCTTTAAGACCAAACGCACGGACCTAATACTGACACACATCCGGTTTCTTTCGCAGGTGTTTACGTTCATTTCAGACATTACCGACTGTGTTTACTACAGTACTCGCCAAAACGGGTATTTTAACATAACTTTGTGTGTATGTGAAAGAGGAATCAATTTGCTGTTCACACGGTGTCTTTCTCTCTGCGTGTGCGCGCTTCGGGTGTTTGGGGCAGCGGCTGAGCGCATAGAATACAGTGCGTGAGTTAAAATTGCTTGAATGTGTAAATTGGCAAGACAAAACATGTGCAAATGATAAACTTTCACTCTATGATGGTTAAACTGCAGTTAATCCGCGAATCACATGCGTGCCGAACCGTGCAGCCTGATCCGTACGGATCACGGACCATCTACGATCCGTTGCACCCCTACAAGAAACCTTAAAAAACCTTACGTGGCATTCAATTTTACATCATGAATTAAGCTAGATGCTAATGCTGCGACTTCATGAAGTGATAATACTTCTGTAGTATTAGAAACTATTTTCAGAAAATATGAGCCCTATTACTAATCCAATGATCATCCCATGACCTTCACGCTTTGCAAAACAATGTGAGTGAATGACTGTGAAACAATGTGCGTTTATGAGCTCAAGTCACTACCTGTACATCATTCCGAGTCTTAGTGTCTAAGTTCATATACAACTTATGTACTTTTCATTAGTGGTGGACCGATATTGTTTTTTTGACAGCCAATGCCGATGCCGATATCTTGGAAAGCAGGGTGGCCGATGGCCGATATAATTATATTTAATTAATATTTAAGAAATTTGAAATCATTTGAAAATGGATTAAAAAATAAATTTGTAAAATAAACATACTTATACTTTAGATGACAAAGTATTTTCCACAAATAAATATTTAATAAAAATATTATTAAAAAGGAAGTAAACTGTAACCAACAGAGCACTCAGTATTCTGGGAAGTTTGTGTGCATTGGGGATCATATTTTTTAAATAAAGCCAAGGTAACGCTCATTTTACATACAGCACACATTGAAAATGACATGAATATGACAGTGGGCAAATGGATAAAGGGCAGCGTAATTTGAAATCACAAATTTAATGTTTAAAGCATTTAATTTGCACGAACCGAAAGTCACGCAGAGAACACGCGATCATGCAGGTCACATGCACACTTCACACGATCTCACAACTGGATTCGACTAAGTTTGCAAGGTTTGTGAAATTAAATTTTCATTATTCATTCAAAGATTTGTTTTAAATTATGTAAATGAGTATTTGCTGAATGCTGACGGCAAACGAGAAAGTATTATAATGTTTGCCTTTCTATTACTAATAATATAAAAGCAATCGTTATAATACTTTTTGTATACATTTTAATTCCTTTGTTTAACCGTGGTTGATGAAAAGAACCAGTTTGAGTCAGAGAATTTTGGTGAATGGAAAAGTCAAGGCCGAAGCCTGGCACGAACTTAGGATGTCCTGGAGCGTTAGCTCACATCTTCTCAAAACCTAACAGAACCACCGTCTCTGGGCGGGTCACATGGTGTGATGCCTTTAAGGTCGGAGAAGATCCCCGCCTCTCAAGATGGGCTTGTCCAATGAGAAAGGCCGGTATCCCAAGTGGGAGTTTTGAGATACTGGGGAGTTTTTATGACTCTTTGTGTGGAAGCATGGTAATTTGCATATGGAACTTGAATCGAAATTACTAAAGATTCTCAGGACACTAATGTATTGCCTATGTACCAACATATAATATACACTCTCGGTTAGCTTATCAGAAGACTAATTCATAGATACTAAACATGGTAGGATTACATATAGGCAATATGACAGGAATGAGTGTTTCCATCACAAGCCTGCATAAAACAGTATAAAATCTCAAAGACAACATACACGATGACCTGAAGGCTATGTGTGTTCATTCAAAGAAAGGTTTTCCTATGGATTAATTAGTAGAAAAGTCCATTTCTACTGTGCATTGTGCCTCTTGCTATGGAACATGCAGTGATTTTCCCTACTCACATTCCATCAGGTCGTAAATGGCTCTGGTCTTAGCAAAGGTGTCGGGGTTGCCATGGTAACCAGTGGCCTGTGGTCATTCGCAGACATCCTGGCGCCCAGTCTATTGGGTGAGGGGTCTGTGACGACTTGTTAATCTAATGAATAACTGATTTGTTAAATCAAATGAAAAATTGTGTTTTTGATTGGTCCAGACGCTACACAAGGTTTGTGAAATCAAATTTTCATTAGCCATTCAAAGATTTGTTTAAATTATGTAAATGCGTATTTGCTGAATGCTGACGGCAAACGAGAAAGTATTATAATTTGTGCCTTTCTATTACTAATAATATAAAAGCAATCGTTATAATACTTTTTTGTATACATTTTAATTCCTTTGTTTAACAGTTCTATCGGATTATTAGACAGACTTATATCCGTATTAGACAGAACTGTTAACGACGACGATGAACAAGAGGGAGAATGTGAGCACTATGTGCTCAGGCGCTGCCGTTCTCAGCGGCGTCAAAATAAAAGTCCCACCTCGAACGCATCGGCCAAACAGAAAAACTTATCGGCCGATGCCGATATTTGAAAAATGCCAAATATCGGCCGATATATCGGCCTTGGCGATATATCGGTCGACCACTACTTTTCATATATTTACAGTTTATATCCCTCAGTGTTCAGTGAGTTATAATGGTAAGTGTGCCTTGGCGGGCCCTTGTTCAAAAACAACATGGCTGTTTATTAATCTTAGACCTGAGGAGAAGGAGTGGAGCATAGCAGCAGTGTTTAAAAAAGAATGAAACATTTAATTATCCCACGTTTGTGAAGGGGCCAGCCTGTCGCTGAGGAGAGCTATAAAACAATGAGAAGGAGAGTGAGTGAGAGAGAGCATTCCTTCAGCACACAGCTGCCAAGTTGGAAGAAAAACCAACTGGTTAGAAGCCAGGAGGAGAGCCAGAGAGAGGAGAACAGAGGAGAGAAAGAATATCGTGGCCACGTACACCGCAATTCAGCGTAAAAAAGCCTATAAACCGAATGAGAGGAGATTGAGAAGTGTAGGGATTTCTATATATATATAACAGACACTGATAAGCCATGGAATCATCCCAGCACATGACTCCAATATTCGGGGGGCGATTTCCTGCAGTCTTGTCGTCATCTACTCAGAGGAGTGATTAAAGATTAATCCAATCAGGAGACAACAAAGCTTTTTTGTATCAGGACTGAAAAGGTTCGTTCACAACATATAGAAACCACGATGTCTTGTGACCACCAATGA